GACAACATCTTTTTGGCCTCATACGTTCGATTGGGAAGAACATTATCCTCTGGTAGCATTTCTTTCACGAGGGCTAATAACTGTGTGAAACTTTTATCCGACCATCCGTTGTCCGCCTTTAAGTTGTACAACTTTAACACCGCAGACAATCTTGTGAATTTTGTACAACCATCATACAACGGTTTCTCTGCATCGCTTACCAACCTCTCGAACATTTTGGGACAATCCTCAAGATCTTCTTCAAGCGCTTCTGCAATCTCTTCGACTCGATCATAATCGTATGCGTCTGCGAAATCCTCATTTGAAGCATACGTCGTATTATAACTCGATTCAACATTCCCGCTACTTTTCTCACCATGCAAATTCCAACATGCATAACTTCTATCAATTCCATGCATCAGTAAATGCGATTCCAACTGAACCGCGTCAACCCGTCTCCCATAACAGCATCTCAAGCAAGGACATATCATTCCATTGGGTTCTCTGGCATGCGCAACGGCAAACTTAACGAATTCTGATACCCCATCCTCATACTCTTTCGACAATCGATTGGCAGTCATCCATTTTTTATCCATGGTTTGACTATAGCAACTAATTAGTCACGCAACTATAGCAAAATAATAATTAATTACCTGTAAAGAAATTCAACATATCAGGTAATCAAATTCATAGTTATTCTTGCCTCACCTTAAGCATGTGCTAAACAACTCATAACTAATTACTAACTAGTGAAGTCGGATACTAGTGATTCAGTCTTGGATACAGGTAATAACAATTATATTCAAACAATAGTGAAGTCGGATTTCAAACCTTACGGTAAAGATTTCATCGGAGGAGAAGCAACCGGAAGATTTAGCAACGGAAAAATCCCGTCAGATATTTTTGGTATAGTCCTATAGTCCTAAATTCTAACATCTACACGCTAACTAATGTGTTGCATGGTTCATTGTGTTTAAGATTTTCATTGATGTTTGATGAATCCCTGAAACGTGCTCGTTTCAATGCTATCAATACTGCCATACTGCCATATACAGCCCTATACTGCCATAACAGTCTAAATATAAACAAAAACACAACCGCAGCTCATGAGTTCCACTCAACTATAATCATTAGAAATTCACACTGAGCCGGAAAATAAAAGTAAAAACAATCAGTTATTCAAGTCAGTTCAAGAATAGGATAGAAACCTTTGAAAATGTTGAGAGCGTCCCGCGTACACTACGATCAAGGACAGTTCGAATTTCTTCAATCGGAGAAAGTTTCACAGCTTTTTCCTACCACAATAACACTTAAAATCAATCTCCCACAAAGGAGTCACACACAAATTTAAATTACAATAACTGATGTAATTTTTATCTAAAAATCGATATTAAATCGTTGAACTATCACTCATTTGTGGTTGTCTCTAATATTAAAAATGCTATTGGTACACTTTACTAAGTTGCACATAACACAATCAATTAGTTTCAGTAGAAAAAAAAAAGTATTGCGGACGCAAGGGTATTGAATTTCTATATACATTATTCTTTTTGAGATTAAATGATATTTTTCAATTCAAAAGTACTCAGACTCTTGCTTTTTTGCGCCAACTAAGAATATCCTTCACATGTGATCAAGTGCCATGATGAAAAGAAGCACTCATTTCTTGAAAAAGAGAGGCAAAAACAAGTAATAGGGGACACAGTTGCTAAAGGCCAAAGCATAGGATCAAACAACTCCTCTTATTATAACCCCTCCATCTCATAGCAAATGCTTTGTAAAATTCTGCACCTTCTTACCAAATGAATTTATAGAACTACTAATATTTAAAAATAAAATACTAGTATTCGGATTACACCATCTATATGTGGTTCCCTTAATTAGTTAATTAGTCACATAACAATATTCTCAATTAATTAGGATATTAATCGAGCTATTCCCTTTCTTATAATAAAGCTACTCATTAAATTCTAAGGTCGATATAATTTCCCTTAAGCCAGAAATATAATCACCCTCGTGTTCCTATAGGATTTCCCTCAAGTCGAAAGCCTAGGCACTCTCATATACAAAATGAATCCATACGATTTCCCTTAAGCCAAAAATCTAGAGACCCTTATCAAAAAATGAATATGTATAGCTTCCCTCAAGCCAAAAACATAGATTCCTCAATTGCAATGTACTTGTACGATTCCCCTCAAGCCGGAAGTCTAGGTATTCATTGCATATAATGTATCGACACAATTTCCATCAATCCAGAAATATGGATACTCTCAACATAACACATCCATATTATTTCCCCCAATCCAAAAATATAGAGATGTTATCAACATACAATGTATCAATATAATCTCCCTTAAGCCGAGAATATAGATATCTTTAGATACTATGTACATGTCTGATTTTACTTAAGTTGGAAATCTAGGGGGATGCATAAAGTAGAAACATTCACACTTGCACATTCTTGCTTTACTATAGGATATACCTTCTCAATAGCTCTCTAACATATCCAACAACATCTCGCCTCGAGTTATAGATCTCAAACTACGTTAAGATCATTACCCCTACAATTCTAAACAAGTCGGCTCGCTTGGTGACACTCAAGCGAGACCTTATAGAACTAAAACTTTTCCCAAAATAGGTCCTTCATTTAGCGAAAAACAACTATCTCTAAGTGAGATCTTATTGGGCATAATATTTTCTCACTAAGCGAGTATACTAGAACTTTCAGGATTCATAACACATAAGTCACAATCATGAATACATTAAACATGTCAAGGAAGGAAATAATCATATATACACCAAGGTCATACCATCATGGCATTATTCTAATCTCAATGAATGAAATTATTACAATGGATAGGATCTCATTTACATATCAACAGAGAAATTCAAACTTAGCAACCAAACATAAACTTATCACATATCACAAACTGTCATATAAGCATGATATTTAATCATCATAACATAGAGAATTGGACTAGCTTTCTAACACATTCGAGTGCATCTCATTTGGAGTTACGGAACTAAAAATACATTGATTTCAGTGGCAATACAATTTTGTTCGTATCAACAGCTCTCGCTAAGCAAGCAAAATTTCACTAGGCGAGAATGACTATAACTTTTCATGAAAGTTAGTGTTCTAACATCACATTTATCACCCCAATCCACCACCCATCCATCCCTAACCTATACTAACATGCTTGGGGAACAAAAAAACATAAAATCGGTACATGCATACTCAATAATCATACCATTGTCATGAATTTCAGGCATTAGCACAAGACCACACATGAACATACAACCCTAAGCTTCTAACCCCAAGTTCTAACTAAGAACTTACCTTGAAGAGAATATTTTGAGTTGGGTGTTTGAGAGATGAAGAAAATGATGATGACTTATACACTTGATCATTGCCCTTCTTCCAAATCACCAAAGCTTCGTGCCGGCGAGGATGAGGAATCAGAACAAAAACGAGAATAGCTTCGTGCCGGCGAGGGTGAGTTGATGAACGGTGCTGATAAGGTTCGTGCCAGCGAGGGTGAGATGATGAACGGTGCTGAAAAGCTTCGTGCCAGCGAGGGTGAGATGGAGAAGACGATGAACAGGGCTTCGTTCTGATATTTCGTTTTGGGTTTCGTGGGTATTCTGAACTGTGCTGTTCAATATTTCATTTTATTTAATTTTGATATTTGAGCTACCACGGCGCTTTTAGCCTAAAAAGCGCTTTAGTAGCATCAGACCCTATGCCAGCGCTTTTGAAAGCGCTTTCAAAGGCCAATCTTCCACAGCGCTTTTTAAAAAGCGCCTTCATAACCCTATTATTTCGTTTTTATTAATATTTTTATTTGACCTACCACAGCGCTTTTAATGTAAAAAGCGCTTTCGTATCCCCCACCTATGCCAGCGCTTTTAAAAAAGCGCCTTCGTAGGTTTCCCTTTTTTTTAATTTTGTTTTTTGTGAAGGCTATGGCAGCGCTTTTTCAATAAGCGCTTTAGTAGAGGCGCTGCAAAAAGCAGTTTTTGGCGTAGTGAATATTTGTTTCTATGCGTTGACACATGATCTTGAATAGGTCGATACATGTCATTATATGTGTCGACACATGACTTATTTGTGTCAACACATACTGTAGTTTTTCTGAAAAATTGCATTTCTTTTCAATTTCTAAGTCTTCCTTTTTACCTCCAACTTCCACTCATATAAATACTTTATACATGCATCTTTTTCAATAAGAAGAAACTAAAACATACAAAGATTGCTCTTCATCTTGAACCTCTCATCCATGCATGCATACACACAAACAAACTACACATAATTATTTTTTGTTTGAGTGTTATGTAGATTTGTGTTGATAACGTTCAATTTAGGTTAGTGTAACTTAAGTGTGATTGTCATCTCTAAATAGGAAAATAGATAGATGACGTCTCCTTGTGTCATCTCTCGATAAACGCCCCATTGCATGCTGTGGCTACTAGTACCATAACCAGAACAACAAAGTCCGGTAAGTCCGAAGCCAAGAACGGCCTCCCTGAACCAATCCGCATTAGGATGATGTAGCTCAAATATTATAAAAGAGAGAAAAAATTAGAATATAGATGAAAATGAGAAATACATATTTTATTCCGAAACTTTGTATATATTTACTGCAAATCGGATATGCATATCCGAAAACTCTTTGAAAATAAAATATTGGACTCGTTCAGATATTCATATACACATTCAAGAGATATTATGAAAATTTCGTCAGAAGTCTCTAAAAAAATACAAAAATATATTAAAATATCCTTATTTTTTAATACATCTTATGTTTTATTAGGACACCTTGTAAAAATCTAAAAAATATCTTAGATTCTAAAAATATATTTTTGAATGTATCTGAAAATACACAAAATACATGTGTAAAAGAATAACACCCTTATTTTGTAAAAAATATATTTGAAATCCGCAAATACATTTTCAGAAATTTGGAGGCAATGTATTGTTGATATTGAAACTACACAAGGCTGATAAAGATGAAGATATTTTATACAAAAGCAGTCTTGACTACATCATTAGCAATTTTAGCACTACTGCATCCTAAAACCAATGAAATTGACTTCAACATCTTCCACGCCCCTTTACTATTCTCATTCCTCTTCCTCTTCACAACCTCTTTCCCATTCCCCGGCGGCGCCACCGGAAACATCATCGTCGGCTCCCTCCGGCTCAATCTATTTCTAATGTCACTAAGTTGCATCTCCTTGGAAGACAACCTCGAACTCGACGACATCCCAAACAAAAACAAAAACCATCTAGATTTTGTCGCACTCCTCACCAACGAAACCTTTCCTCCCATTGATGTGTAATCATAAGCAAAACTCTTAACCTTCAACCTACTAATATCATCCTCATCTTTACATTTCATGGACTTTGAACTCATCACTTTTGCTCTTGGAACAACTACTTTTGGATGATCTTTGAAGGGAATCAGTTTCCCACAGAAGATTATGTTATCATTACTTGTTGAAGTTGTGAACTCTTCGCTAAAAAACTCAAACAAATTATCATCATCATCATCATCATGGCGATCCTTGTTATAATTGGATAAACCACCCCATTGAGGTGAAGTTGTAGAATTTGGAAGGTCACGAAGGGATAGAGTTTCTTCTTCATCGTCATCGTCATCATCACCATAATGATAATCATCTTGTAGCAGATTATTTTCTTCATTCCCTACTTCTTGACCTGAGTATAACTCTTTAGCCACCATTGATACAAACAAAAAAAGAATTTGTGAAGAATATTTCACTATGTGTTGTCTTATTAATCAAGTTTTTTTTCCCGATATATATAAGAGATTAAAAAGTTTAGATTAATTAATTGATGTCGATGCCTTCTAGATGAATAAGAAAAAAAATAAACAAGGTACTCAAATATAACATTCATCTAGAAGAGCAGGCGCCAAATCCACAAAATGATGTCATATATGATATAAGGCTCAATAGTGATTCTAGATGGAATATATACTTTTTTCTTTTTTTTTCTTTTTTCATTTATGGAGAGGCTTTATAGGTTGTTTACACATGTCTAAGCATAGTTTTGTGTTTGGATTTTAGCCTTTATAGTCAAAACCAATGTCCCACCAGTTACTAGATAATGAACAGTTTAGCAAGGTTGACATATTTGTGGAGCCGGCATGTTCAGCAAATATGTAGTCGTGTTTCTTTTTGCCTATAATATAAAGCTCAACATTAGTACATTGACTTGTTTTTTGTTATTTTGTGTTAACAAGTGAGGACACGATACTTGATTTTGTAGTCTTTTGACTTGATGTGCAAGATTGTGTAGATTATTATATTTATTTATATATTGGTTTGAATTAGCAAACTTTAAACTTAAGCAAAACATGTTAGAAAGAGTCTCAATGATTTCATAAACTATTTTGATAGAGCTCTTTTGCTTTTCTAGTGTATTAGTTAATTATTAGTAATTAGGTTTCAATATTAATTGATTAGGTAAATGTACTATTTTTTTATTTTAGTATATGTAACTTTGTTAGTTCCATTTTGATTCATTTAAATATGTCTTAATTTGTTTTGATATTTATTTTGCTTTTTATTTTAATAAAATGTATTTATATTGAAATTGATCATTAATATATCAATTATATAATTTTATTTTTTTAATATAAATATTAAAATAATTAATTTAATATTATATACATATTACATAGATAAATTTTAATATAAACTAGATATATGACCTGTACGTTACATGAGATTTATTTAAATCTTTATCTTAAATATTATTTTAAATATTTTATTAAATATAGTTACATATAATTTATACTTATCATAATAATGATAATAAAATAATTGGTTCCTTTTAAACATTAAACAATTATCATCAATTTATCAAAAATCTCACTAAATAAGTCTGACATATTTTCAAATTGTCACCTCTAATTTAAATATACATTTATTTCTTCCAAATACAACTATTTTTTAATTTATTACACAATATATTTTTATCTCACATATTCCATATTTTGTGGTCTATCACTCTATTTATATTATATTTAAAATTGAATAATCAATACAAAAAATACAATATATAAAATACTTATTAGAACATATAATACAACTGAGATCCTGGAAAATATTGAAAAAAAATTCTATTATTCTTATAATACAATGCTACAATATTATTTAACCCTCTCAATTTAAATTTCAGGTGTCACATTGAAATGTGATGATGGGAGAAGTGAGATATAATAAATATGTATATAAGGAATTCATGTAACTTATTTTTTTATTAATTAGTATTGAATGAAAAATAAAAATTTGTCTAAATTACATAAAAGTGTATTATTTCATATTTAATTATCATTTTAGAATATGAATAATAAAAAATGTAATTTATCAATTTCAATACAATGAGTTTTTTTAATTTAAATAGACAAAAAAATTTAAGAAATCATAAATACGATAATAAATAGTGACTAGTCAACAATATAAAAAAAGATATAAGGAGTAATATTTTTTTAATTAGTAAAATTTTCAAATAATATAATACTTACTCAAATATCGTCAAAAAACCCCTTATATATTTTATTTAATGAAATAAAAAATATTTATACAGTTCAAATATTTCTTTTAAAATAAGTATCAAATATTTTTTAAATATTTTTTTTAATTCTATACAATAAAATATTTTAGAATAAACGACATTTTATCCAATTTCTTAACAAAACAAACACAAAATATTATTAAGTTAAAAAATATAATCATGTTCAATACAATCAACTAAAAAAGTGAATAAAAATCTTATATATAATATAATATAATATAATATAATATAATATAATATAATATAATATAATATAATATAATATGATATAATTGTTGGAAATCCACTAAAGTCTATGATGAATTTTTACCACAATGACAATTTAATTATGAGACAAACAAAGAAAGAAGACAAGACAAATAATTTCTGTAGAGTTTCTCTCTGCTCACAAACTGTGAAAACTTTCTTATTCACTTTACAACTGCAAAATATTGTGAATGACTTGCTTGACTTGCTTACAAAAAATAGGGGTTACTCCCTCTATTTATAACTGAGCTTACACCCTAAGCCCAAAGCCCAAAATATCTATTTTGTTACTAAATCAAATCTAATCTATTCTAGACTTAAATCAAATCTATTTAAATCTAAAACAAATCTAATATTTTCGACACATAGTTTCGACACACTGAATTACAATTTAACACACCACATAATTCATTGTGTCTAAACTATCTATGTTCATCATGGCTCTTAGTCTTCTGAATACTTCGACTTGCACTCCCTTCGTCATGATGTCTGCAATCTGATTCTCAGTTCTTCAGTGTTCCAAATTCATCTTCCCATCTGCTACCTGCTCTCGAAGATAATGAAACCTCATTTCAATGTGCTTGCTTCGACCATGTGTTATTGGGTTCTTTTCCAGATTAATAGCTGACATACTGTCTATCTTCATGGTAATTGCTCCATGATCTTTCCATGTTATCTCTTCGACCGAGTTCACCATCCAAGTTGCTTGACATGCACAAAGAGAAGCAGTTATGTATTTTGCTTCACATGATGATAATGCCACTATTGGTTCCTTTCTTGAATTCCAATCAACCGGTGCACCATCTAGCATAAACACATATCCTGCTGTTGACTTTCGATCTTCAACATCACTACACCAGCTCGAATCATTATATCCCACTAACTTGCATTCTTTTCCTTTATCAGTTGTAGAAAACAAAATACCATAATCGAAAGTTCCTTTGAGATACCTTAGTATCCTCTTCACTGCTTCTAGATGTGATGCCTTTGGCTTTTGCATGAATCTACTTACCATACCTACACTATATGCTAAGTCAGACCTTGTATGACAAAGGTATCTCAATGATCCAATAAGTCTTCTGTATTGGGTTGGATCAACATCATCTTCATCTGCATATTTCGACAATTGTAGTCTTGGTTTTGCAGATGTCGAAGTTGAGTTGCATTCTTCCATCTCAAACCTCTTGAGAAGTTCTCCTGCATATCTTCTTTGATGCATCATCAAACCTCTATTGCTCTTGTAGAATTCGATGCAAAGGAAATATGAAATCTCACCCAAATCAGACATTTCAAATTCCTTGCTGAGATCACCTTTGAAGTCTTCGATCTCACTTTTACAGCTACCTGTTATCAACAAATCATCTACATAGAGACATAGTATAAATAATTTACTCTTGCTTCTTCTTACATATACTCCATGTTCAGTTGTGCACTTCATAAATTCCTTCTCCCTTAAGAAATTATCAATTTTCTTATTCCAAGCACTTGGAGCTTGTTTCAATCCATACAGGGCTTTATGCAGCCTGTACACCTTTCTTTCTTCTTCATGTTTCACAAACCCAACTGGTTATTTAACATAGACTTCTTCATTTAAGGGTCCATTGAGGAGTGCACACTTTACGTCCATCTAACATATGTGTCAATTGTTTATTTCTGCTAGACCAACAACCAACCTGATTATTTCGATCCTAGCAACAGGTGCAAAAACTTCATCAAAGTCTGTTCCTTCTTTCTGTAGAAATCCTTTCACCATAAGTCTTGCTTTGTGTCTAGTTACTCCCTCTTTTGAATTCATTTTTACTTTGTATACCAACTTGACATCAATTTCCTTCTTGCCTTAAGGAAATTCGACAAGTGACCAAGTGTTGTTGTCTTCGATATACTTCACTTCTTCATTCATTTCTTTCACCCACTTTGATTCCTTCAATGCTTAAGCTGCATTAACATGTTCGACATCTGCATAGAAAGCATAATGTACCATCTCACCTTCATCATCTATCACATCATCTGATGTAATTACAGAATCTTGCAATCTTGTAGGCATGCGTCTTTTTCTTTGAGGTCTGCTTGTACTTGGTATATCTGCTGGTTCCTCTTGTGGAACTTCTCTTTCGACTTGAGTTTCTGGTTCTTCGAATAGGATTCTCACTGAATCTTTCTTGACATTTTCATTCCAATCCCATTCCTTAAACTCATCTATGATCACGTCCCTGCTGATCATAATCTTCTCTTTCACTGGATCGAACAACTTGTAGCCTCCTATCGAATGATATCCAACTAGAATCATTTGACTTGACTTGTCATCAAGTTTTCTTCTCAACTGATCTGGCACATGTCTATGTGCAATAGATCCAAATACCTTCAGATTACTCAAGCTAGGCTTCACACCAGACTAACATTCTTCTGGAGTAATTCCTTCTAGCTTCTTTGTAGGATATATGTTCAAAATATATGTTGCAGTCGAAACAGCTTCACCCCAAAACTCTTTAGGTAAATTCTTGCCTTTCAACATACTTCTCACCATATTCATGATGGTTCGATTCTTCCTTTATGCAATTCCATTTTGTTATGGAGTATAGGGTGGCACCACCTCATGCATAATCCCTTCCTTTTCACATAGCTCGTCGAAGTCTTTCGACACATATTCTCCACCACCATCAGTTCTCAAAACTTTGAGATTTCGACCACTTTGCCTTTCGACCATAGACTTAAACTTGGCAAATATTTCGATCACTTCACTTTTCTTCTTGATCAGATAAGTCCACAGCTTTTGACTGAAATCATCTATGAATGTAACAAAGTATTTGTTACCTCCCATCGAATCCACCTAGATTGGTCCACATACATCAGAGTATATGACTTCAAGACTAGCCTTCGACCTGCTTCCTGCATCCT